ACAGCTTCCTTTCTATTCATCAAAAGAGCTAAGTTACATACCACCTCTTATCTTTTATACTTGATAACTTTTCTACGTGAAATGCTCTTTCCCTGCTATGTAGGTGGGCCTTCTTTCTCATAATCCAGATATTCATTCGAAAGTCATTTCCTCCTATGCTGCTGAATATAAAGTAGCTTGTGCACCCTTTACTGCTTTTACCCTGTCACTCTAGATTTTCTTTTTTTTTTAAGGGTTTATTTATTTATTTTATTTATTTATTTTATCTGCTTTACAGAGAGAAGGAGAGACAGGGGGAAAGATCTTCCAGCCACTGGTTAACTCCCAAATGGCTGCAATGGCTAGAGCTAATCCAATTCAAAGCCAGGAGCCAGAAGCCACTTCCAGGTGTCTCATATGAGTGTGAAGAGTCCCAACGACTTGAGCCATCCTCCACTGCTTTCTCAAGCCACAAACAGGGAGCTGAATAGGAAGTGGAGCAGCTGGCACCCATATGCGATTTCGAGCACTTGGACGTGGAGGATTAGTCAATGGAACATCACTCTGGGCCCCACCTTCAGATTTTCTTCTAAGCACAGTTAGTATCTGAAATTATCTTATTTATCTGATTACTAGCTTGTCTCTGTACTCACGCTGGAAGGTCTTTAATAACAGGCCATTATCTGCTGTTTTCTGGTAAATCATTAGGGCTTGGCACATGCTAGAAGGCTCAAGTGTTATTAGTTGATAGATTTTATTCTTATTCTTTGCTAATTGTTCTACTGGTATGTTTATTCCTATCAATTTGTAAGAGCTCCTTAAACAGATGGATGTTACCTTTTTTTTCCCCATTCATTGACTTCCTAAGACTGCTGCAACAAAGTAGGAAAATCTAGGTGGCTAAAAACCACATGATTTTGTTAACTAATAGCTGTATAGACTAGAAATCCAAAACCAATGTGTCAGAAGATTCATGCTTCATCTGAGGCTCTAGGAAGGATCTTTCTTTGCCTTTTCCTCGTTTCTTGGGATAACTGTCATTTTTTTTGTCATTATTTCGTTCAAAATGGCATCACTCTAATCCCTGCCTATATTTTCCTCTTTTTTAAAAAAAAATAAGGAAACTGGTCATATTGGCTCATAGCCCTCTCAGATGACATCAGCCTGACTTGATTACACCTGGAACGTCGCTGTTTCCAAATAACAGCATAGTCCAAGATCACGGTGTTGCAGAAAAGCAGGAGTCTGTGTGGTAGGAGTAGCCATAGTAGTATGCCTCTTGTCCCTAAGGGATTCATTTTACCAGATTTTTTCAAAGGGTGCAGAGCTCCCGTGCTATAGCTCTTCCTGTTGCAGCTGTTACAGTGTTACAGCTGCCCTTGTTATACCCTTTCAGCTCTTACTGTGTTGCAGTATTATAGCTGTCAGGGTCACAGTTCCTTTGCAGCCAGGCAGCTCTCAATGCTACAGCCACAGCTTCTCTTTGTTGGGTTTGTCAAAACTTGGCTGTCTTCTGTGGTACAACTTATTTTCTCTGCTGGATTCTTTGTCTTGCAGCCACAGCCAGTGAGATACAAGGGCAAAGTGAATGGCATTTATTAAATAAGGTAGAGGGATCCTCCTCAATCCTTGCCTGGTTCAGAATTTCATGTGTTTCTAAAGCAGGAAGTTAGCTCTAATTGGTTGAGGTGTATGCAAGTGAGGTATCCCACATGAACCAATTCAAGAATTGATGTGGAGTAGCCCGTTTTGTACGAGTGCTCAATCATGTCGACTGGGAAGAAACAACATCTGAAGATTGCATTGTGTATGTTTCTCCTATCTCCCCCTTCCCTCGGGGTTGTGGAGATTTAAGTCATGCATGCTTTTTTCTTTTCCTGTGCTTTTTTCTTTCTTTTCCAGGGGCCCCTACAGTCCCAATTGGGGGAGCTTAAAACTTCAACATATACATTTTAGTGACACAATTCAACTATAATTCGAATAGTTTTATCTAATTTTGATAGGGATCCCAGGGGCCCTTGGAAAAGAAAAGAAAGGAAAACCTAAGCATTGGATGGCCAGCAGTTTTGAGAAACATCTCCAGCTGGGCAGCACCTTTGGGGAGGCATTAGTGTCTGCCGTTCCTTCTCTGTGTGTGTCTCACCCTTTGTGATAATGAGATAAAGAACTTGGCAGAGAAGAGAAGCTGTAAACTGTGGTAGCAGAGAACAGCTTTAATACACAGATCTGCAAGTCCAGAGCTGTGCTGTTTTTCTAGAATCTGACTTTCAGGGACAAGATGCAGACTCCTCCTGCCACTACTCCTGTAGTTTGTTTTTAAAATTTGTGGGAAGCACCTGAATTCTTGTAGTTGCTTTTTTGGACAGTATTGGGATCATAACTTATGGGGGAGTAGCAATGCTCAAGATAAGGCAAGATCTCATGACTATTTATGCATATGTTTTTTGTTGCTCCACAAAGCTTATCCTTGTGTCCAGTGGGAAGTAGTATTGCACCCAGATTTTGAGATCCCCAGAAATCATCAGGAGTCTGAAGTCTATGCAGATGCATAAGGGCAGTTTATTCAGGCCAGACTGGGCTCCCAGCCGTCACCCCAGCCCAACAGGACTTGGAGAGAGAGCTCCCTGAGGTTGGACAGCATAGGGTTTTTATACACTTCAGGCCAATTCTGCACAATTCCACAGTTATGATTGGTCAGTGTAACTGTTAACTTTAAAAAAGAGCAAGTTGGCAGGCTTCAATTGGCAGGTTTGAAGCAAGCAACTTTCAAACAGTACAAACTGGTAGGCTATAGGGTAGTGAGCAATACATCTTTTAAAAAATAGCAAGTCTTATCTAAAAAGCATGCCAGGGGTGTCCTCCCTGAGGAGTGCTCTGCCTAAGTGACCTGTCAGTGTCACATAGACTATCAAGCCTGGAGTTTACACAGCTCCCCAGCCAAGCAAGCAAGGTAGACATCACAAAAGCAGAAACACTGAGGTTCCTCAGTAGAATGGTACTCAGTGCTGAATCTAGAAGGTTAGGAGTTCTCTTGACCCATACATGGTCCTGTTCAGTTCATCAGTTTAGATTACTACAGAAGGCAGATTTGCAATAGGAAACAGTATCTTCACATATCAGCTGTAGTTTCTAAAATAAAAAAATCTTCAGCTCTCCAGTAGATGATGAATATTTGTTGCTTTCATAAGTCAGACGTCTTAGTTTCTCAGATCTTTATTTCAGGCTGGACTTCTTAATTTAAATTCTTTTAAAATAATACATTAATACATGATTCTCAAACTTCAGGCTATCTATGTACTAAGTGTATGCTTTTCCTTTGTTCAGTGTCCCAAATAGTTTAGCGGGGTAGGGTATTAAATAACACAGCATGGGGCCAAAACTGGAGGCACTAGTACATTTGGTTTGGCTTGCCTTCCTGCAGTATGTGATGATTTCTGTTTCTTTTATCATACCTAACAGCTACTAAATAATTTTTATAGCAAACCACTTTCTTTATGGCATCTCTTTCTATCTGTGATCATTGTTTAGAAAATTATTTCAAGTTGAAGAAATGAATAGCTGTACTCAGGATGAATTTTAGTCTCAACTTTAGTTACTGACGCACAACCTCTGTTTATTTCTAACATTTTTAAACACATCAAAAAGTAAATGGTTTTGAGTCTAATTTCTGCATACTAGAGACTTAACTTCTGAGCTGCTTACAAGAAAAATATTTGTTGGGGTGGTTTGGAAAGTTTGGAAAGGAAAGCAGGGAACATAAAGGCTCTTTTAGTCTGTCTGGAGTATCAAAACTGTTACACAAAATGTCCAAGTTCTGTCAACTAGAGTTCTCCCTGAAGATTTACTTTACAGATTACTTTGTAAACATCAACTGCATTCAGGTAGAGACCCTCCTTTTTTTTAAACACAATTTTTTAACAGGCTAGGCATGGTACGCTTCAAAAGTGATGCTAATGTTGTGTAGAGTCCAGCAACTATATTTTTTGTATGGTACAGGCACACATTAAAAAAGAAGCTTTCTTTCCCTGCAGAATGAAGCATTTTTTAAAAGATTTATTTCTTTATTTATTTACTTGAAAGTCAGATATTACAGTGAGAAGAGACGAAGAGAAACATCTTCTGTTTCACTTGAACTGTTTCACTGTCCCAGTGGCTACAACGCCTGGAGCTGAAACCCATCCAAAGCCAGGAGCTTCTTCCGGGTCTCCCACGCCAGGTTCAGGCTCCCAGGGCTTTGGACTGTTCTCCACTGCTTTCCCAGGCCACAAGCAGGGAGCTGGATGGGAAATGGAAAATTCAGCACATGAATCGCCGCCCATAGGAGATCCCTCCGCGTGCAAGCAGAGGACTTTAGCCAGTAGGCCAGGGCGCCAGGCCTCAGCATTTTTCTTCCCCGAAAAATGAACACTTATTATTTCAAAGTTCCTGCGGCATGTTGAGTTTTTTTTGTTTGTTTTGTTTTGTTTTTGTTTGTTTGTTTTTTTCCTTTTTCCAGAAAGGGAAATAAAGAAAAGCACATACAGTCCATTCCCTCTGTACACCTCCCTTTCTGGCAAGTTCCCTCCTGCCTCTTCACCTCAGCCATTAGAAAGGTAGAACTTAAGAGACTATGGTGAGCATTGGTGACTGTACAAACACGAGGTGGGAAGAGAACATACAGGGGAACCCGAGAAGCCAAGAAGAAAAGGGGAGAAAGCAAGAAAAGACCAAAGCCACGGCAGCCACAGGACGGTGAAGCTGGCGATAGAAGATGATCTTCCCTAGCAACCAGAGGCTAGAGAACTCCAAGCGTAAGGCGATATTGCCACTTGTAGTCCCTCAGATTGGAGAAGACAGAGATGAGTGACAAGCCGGTGTGCACCGGGGCACCGTGTACAGATGGGTCTTGTGTGTATTTCGGGGGCGGGGGGTGTAAGGGATGCGTGTGCTTGAGGCTGCTGGGGGCGGGGAACTCAGTTATACTGGCCGCCACCGTCGGGGGCGAGCGCGGCGGTGACGCGCGGCCGTCACGTGACCCCGAGCTGCAGAGGGACGCAGCCTCGGGTGCAGTCGTCACTCGCGTCTGACTAGCAGCTCCCCGCTGTCCTGCGCACGGCGGGCTGGCATCGGGCCCGGGGAAAGCAGAGCAGGTGAGGGCCTGGCGGCCAGGGCGGTAGCAGCTCGCGGGCGCACAGCGGCGCAGCTGCACCCGCGGCTCTCTCCACACCGCAGCCCCGGGTTTGCGCAGTGGCCCCTGGGGTGGGGGTCCCAGGGCGGCTGGGGTGCTGGCGGGCAGAGCAAGTACGACCTAAAGGAAACTCCCCCTAGTCGCTGCGGGAAAACGGTGAAGCCGGCGGGAGAAAACGGGGGAGGGGGAGCGACTGGAGCATCCGGGAGGCCGAGGGGAAGGGGTCGCGGGGAAGAGGTCGCGGGGAAGGGGCCGGCGAGGAAGGGGGCGGCGTGGCGGTGTTGAGCAACCCCCTCTCCCATGTCTCGCCATCCGCAGGTCCCAGGTGCTGAGTGTTGCGGCGGCGGCGGCGAGAATCCAGAGGAGGAGGAGACGACAAGGATAGGCCCAGGTCGGTGCGGCACACGGTCGGGGACGAGGAGCGTGCTGAAAGCCCGTCAGGACCCAGACCCCTCCACCGACCCGTGCCCCCTCCCCCAGCCCTGCCACCGGCCTCCATTTTGATCCTTGCAGAGCTCTGGGAAAGAATCCTGGGAAAATAAAAATGGTGGGCTTTGCCAGGGGAAGGTGTCAGGAGGCAGTGAGCAGAGAGGCAGAGGGAGGGGCTCCAATCTAAGGCCCCCTAGAGGACGCTGGAGGCTTGTAAGGTGGGGGGAAAAACACCAAACCTGTGATACCAGGTCTCTGAGTCCTGCTGGTCAGTGTACCACGCATCAGTCTCTCTCCTTCCCCTTTACTTGTATCCAAAGAAATACATCCAGAGAAAATAATAATAATAAATTTGTCATGGCAAATATCCACTAGGTAAACGAAGAAATGGAGCCACCCATGCAGAATGGAGAAGATCGCCCTTTGGGAGGAGGTGAAGGCCACCAGCCTGCAGGAAATAACCGACGGGGACAGGCTCGCCGACTTGCCCCTAATTTTCGATGGGCCGTACCCAATAGGCAGGGCAATGATGGGATGGGTGGAGATGGAGATGATATGGAAATGTTCATGGAGGAGATAAGAGAAATCCGGAGAAAACTAAGGGAGTTGCAGCTGAGGAATTGTCTGCGTATCCTTATGGGGGAACTCTCCAATCACCATGACCATCATGATGAATTTTGCCTTATGCCTTGACTTCTGCCATTTTCCATGAGATTAATACTGTGATTTCCAATGATCTTTTCCTTGCATTCTCTCTATATGCCTTTATGGATCCATTTGCTGTGAACCTTATGTTATTTCCATGTGTCAAGTGGGTCTTGTGTTTCCAGCTTGCATCTGCACCCAGATTTAAGTTTCTGTCAGCAGTCCATTTGCATGGAAAAAATGTAAAGTTAATAAAGTTAATAAAGCAATCAGTCCATTATTGTCTTATTAAAAAGTATAGACTTGCATAAAACATGAGTCAAAATATGGAATGAAATACACCAAAATGTTGTTTGAGATACATTATTTGTGTGTGGTAAGATGATACATGACTTTATCTTCCTCTAATTATCTGGAGTTTGAGAAGCAATGAAAATGATTTTCAACAAGTCTGAATATATTGAACAATTACTGGCTTAAGAAACTGAAAGAAGAGTAAACTGTTGCGATTCCCAGTCTTAAAAGAATACCCTCCATTTTAAAAAATATTTATTTTATTTTAAAAAATCTTTTTGGAAGGCAGCTCAGAGTTACAGACAGAAGGAGGAAAAGATCTTTACACTGCATTACTTCCAAAGTGGCTGTAACGGCTAGAGCTTAGCCCATCCAAAGCAAGGAGCCAAGAGCGTCCTCCGGGTCTTCCACACTGGTGCAGGGTCCCTGGTTTTAGGCTGTCCTCTGCTGCTTTGTCAGGCCACAAGCAGGGAGCCAGATGGGAAGTGGCGCATCCAGGACTTATTTGTCACCCAGGGAAAATGTTCAGTATGTGGACACTTGAGGGACTTTGTAACCAACACCCAGTGCCCCTATGGGATCCTGGCACTTGCAAGGTGGGCATATGGGGATTGGGCCATGGCGCCCAGCGCTAAACCCTCCCTTTAAAGCGTTGATTTTCTCTTCTGTAAAGTGAGGTACAAAGGTTATTTCACAGGGATGCTAAGTGGAACAGATGAGGAATGAAACTTCAAGTCTTCAGTGTTTTAACAAGCTCCCTCCCATCAGATACCGAGGGAGGAGCTCGGAGGAATGCTCATCCAGAAAGCATTCTTATGCATTCTTTGCAGTTTTGTGCCTCTGCTTTGTAACATGATGTTACATGCATTACCTGCTGCTGTTTCCTGGTTTAGTTCCTGTTAAAAACGTGCTGGAGATTTCAACCTAACTTAACCTCACTGATTGCTCTGCGGGTCCTGCTGAGCAAAATCCTCCTTGGACCGCTTTAAAAGCCTGGCAAATTAAAGTTATGCATTGAGTGCAACGCCCAAGCTTCTTAAATTTGTAGCAGTTCATTTAGGGATTATTTTTGTGCCTTCCTCTTTAAAGAACACATGACAAAATAGTACTGTGGGGCCTGGCTGAGGAGATGCATCTAGGTACCTCACCTGTGTGGACAGGGTGTGTTATTACAAACCCGCCCAGCAAACGGACTGATGGCTTTATTTTTTGCTTGTGTACCTCTTGGGTATGGGTTTTCTCAGAGGAGGCTCCTGGGAGGCCTGCCCATTAGCTTAAAAGACATGCAAATTATTTGGGGGGGGTGGGCACTTGCCATTTTCTTTTCCTTCCACACCAAAAACATGAAACCTAGATTCATAAAAACTGTTATTAAAACTTTTGACATTATAAAAGGTTACAGAAATGGTGCTCTTCTCCAGACAATGATTGTGTACAAAGTATTCTAGAATTGAGTTGCAAATTCAGGGTCTTAATATTATCAATATTAAATTAGTAAATGTGATTGATCGGTAGAATCAGAAACCCAGCTCAATGAGGTTTGTTACAGACTTCTTAATTATGTGGCCTAAAGCAAGCAACTATTTGTCCAGGCAGTACTAAATTTCTAAAAGAACAAATAAAGAAACTCTCACCCAAATCTGTATTTAAAAAAGTAAAAACAACAAAAATAAAACGAAAAAATCCCACAGTATGTATTTTCACATTTCAAAAGAACACAAATTCCTTATTTGTCACCCAGGGAAAGTGTTCAGTATGTGGACACTTGAGGAACTTTCTAACCAACACCCAGCCATTGTTAATCCTTGAATACCCTGGAGCAGCAACTGATGCTTTGACATTTAATGAAATAATTATACATAGGAATGTTGACAACATAGGCAATCATAAATATTGCAATCATAATCACCTTTAAAGGGCCCAGCAAGGTAGCCTAGTGACAAGGGTCCTCGCCTTGCACGTGCTGGGATCCCATATGGGCACTGGTTCGTATTCCAATGGCCCTACTTCCCATCCAGCTGCCTGCTTGTGGCCTGGGAAAGCAGTCAAAGATGGTCCAAAGCCTTTGGGAACCTGCACCAATGTGAGAGACCTGGAGAACGCTCCTGGCTCCTGGCTTTGGATGGGCTCTTGCAGCCACTTGGGGAGTGAATTATTGGACAGAAGATCTTCCTCTCTGTCTCTCCTGTCAGTATATCTGACTTTCTAATAAAAAATAAAATAAATCTTCAAAAAAATTACCTTTACCTGCATTTTTTTGCAATCAAAATATTTCCAAAATAGAATATTCCAAAAATTAGACTGCAATAATCAATCAGTGTTATTTTTACCTTTCTAAATATCTTATTAAATTAATGATTGCCATGAATTTATTAATATCAGTTTTATAGTACTAAGCATATTGAATAAATTATGCCTTATCTGTATGCAAGCTTATACCCTTTTATAACAATGGTTTTGTCTTAATTATCCTGAAGCTATGTATTACCTAGTGCCTCAGATAGCAGTTGATTAATAGCGTAGTTATGCATTTAACTACCAGTTTATTAATTACTTCACAATTATAGTTTATCTAAAATGTAACAATTAACCTTTTTTGTCCTTGTGTCTAAATTTTTATATTAAAATCATTGATTTACGAAGCAGAGGGACAGAGAACACTCATTTCACTGGTTCACACCACAGTTGCCTGCAATAGGCCTTGGTTGAAACCACGCCTCAAGAACTCATTCCAGGTTTCTATTGTAGGTGGCAGCAACCCAACCACTTGAGTTATCATTGCTGTCTCCCAGCATCAAGGATGCAGCCAGGGAGAGAACCCAAATATTTTGGTATGAAATGCAGGTGTCTTAATCCATCTCAACTGTTGGGTCAAATGCTATGGCTTATCTTACATACTCATTTAAAGTTTTCTGTGAGAAACGTTGTAGAATGTGCTACTTTAAATAATTATTTATGTAATACAGGGGGGATTCAAAAAGTTTGTGGAAACTATGCATTAACTTTTTAAAAGATTTATTTATTCATTTATTTATTTATTTATTGGGAATGCAGATCAAGTTTATGGAGAGAATGAGAAACAGAGAAAGATCTTCCATCCACTGGATCACCTCCGAGATGGCCACAATGTCTGGAGCTGAGCTGATCCAAAGACAGGAGCCAGGAGCTTCTTCCAGGTCTCCTACATTAATGCAGGTTCACAAGGCTTTGGGCCATCCTCTGCTGCTTTTCCAGGCCATCAGCAGGGAGCTGGATGGGAGGTGAAGCAGCCAAAACATGAACTGGTGACCATATGGGATCCTGGTGCTTGCAAGGTGAGGATTTATCCATTGAACCACCATGGAGGACCCAATATGCATTAACTTCTTTTTTTTTTTTAACATTTATTTTTATTATTTTTTCATTGGAAAGGCGGATATACGGAGAGGAGAGACAGAGAGGAAGATCTTCCGTCCGATGATTCACTCCCCAAGTGAGCGCAACGGGCCGATGCTATGCCGATCCAAAGCCAGGAGCCTCTTCCGGGTCTCCCACGCGGGTGCAGGTTCCCAAAGCCTTGGGCTGTCCTTGACTGCTTTCCCAGGCCACAGGCAGGGAGCTGGAAGGGAAGCGGGGCTGCCGGAATTAGAACCGGCGCCCATATGGGATCCTGGGCGTGCAAGGCGAGGACCTTTAACCACTTGCGCCACCGCGCCGGGCCCAATATGCATTAACTTCTAATTCCAGTTGTTCATGATCTTTATGGAGCATCTTTGTACAGGTCATTGACGCATTTGGATCATGTAAAAAAATTAGGATGAATGCGAAAATATAATCCAATCATCTAAGAAACCAATATGTGCATCCAGAGCATAAGTAAATCACTTGGAGTTACTTAAATAACAAGTTGCAATATACACATGCTGCGAATATATTCAACTTGTGAATATACATACATATATCTATAGATATAGATATTGCCACACACACACACAACAACCAAGCTCCTGAATCAGGACCATGAATCTCCCCATAATGGAAATTATAAATACATTAAAACAATGGTTAGAACTGCTAGGGAGCTACATATTTTTTTTGAAAGATTTATTTTTATTTGGAAAGTCAGATATACAGAGAGGAGGAGAGACAGAGAGGAAGATCTTCCATCTGATGGTTCACTTCCCAAGCGGCTGCAACGGGTGGAGCTGAGCCGATCTATGGCTGCTTTCCCAGGCCACAGGAAGGGTGCTGGATGGGAAGCATGTCGGCCGGGATTAGAACCGGCGACCATATGGGCTCCAGGCGCGTTTAAGGTGAGGACCTTAACCACTATGCTATTGCGCCGGGCCTGTTACATATTTTCTGAAATGTAATATTAAGAATATGTTGCTTTTCTTTTGCAAGTGACACATCCAAAGAATATTGTTTCCTTCAAGGGAAACCATGTTTCCCCCACATATTACATATAGATGATCAAGTAAATGATGCTGGAAAATTAAATAAAGGTAAGAGAAAAATCTGATACTGAAGACTGCCACAAAAAGTCAAAGTTATGAGGTAGATTAAAGTAAAATGGAGCAGATACTATGAAGAAGCAGAAGTTAGGACACAGAAGTAATCTATGTAGTGAAAAATTAACGTACCTCTAAGTAATAACAAAAACACCTATTGTATGATTGCGTATTTCTTGAGAGAGAAATATACTTTCAGTGTTTCTGACCCCCACACATTTCAAAAAATGGCCTCATATTGCACATTGAAGAATGGCTCCCACTTAGCCTTCAAATACAATAAAAAAAAAAAAATGAGTTATTCTCCTTTACCAAAATTTGACTGTATTTGGAAAAATTTTCATAGCAAAGGACCACCTTGTGACCACAGCCAGCACTTCAGTTTGAACATCACCAAGCAGAAAGATTAGGGTTAAGAAAAAAAATCTAGGGCCCGGCACGGTGGCACAAGTGGTTAAAGGTCCTCGCCTTGCATGCCCGGGATC